AACTCAATTGTGAACTTGTGGATCTCCTGACAAAGATATGTAATCTTTCCTTAAAATCTGCCTCCATTCCTGAGGATTGGAAGGTAGCTAATGTCACTCCCATCTTTAAAAAGGGTTCCAGAGGAGATCCGGGAAATTACAGGCCAGTCAGTGACGTTGATACCGGGTAAATTGGTGGAAACCATTATTAAGGAAAGAATTAGTAGGCACAGAGATGAACAAAACCTATTGAGGCAGACTCAGCATGGGTTCTGTAAGGGAAGATCTTGTCTCACTAACCTGTTAGTGTTCTTTGAGGGGGTGAACAAACATGTGGACAAGGGGGATCCAAAAGATATTGTTTACCTTGACTTCCAGAAAGCTTTTGATAAAGTTCCTCATCAAAGGCTCCTAAGTAAGCTCAAAAATCATGGGATAAAAGGACAAGTCTGGTATTTCTGGCCACTGTGTGACACAGAGTGTTGGACTGGATGGGCCTTTGGCCTGATCCAACGCTGGTGTCTCTTATGTTCTTATGAAATGCTGGGAGATTTTAAGGTCAGTCCCTGGGGGGGGGGATGCAGTTTCAGAAGGATATGATGTCACTTCCTGGTGACAATTTAGGATTTCCTACTGTGATAATGTCCACAGAGACTAGGAGAAATTCCTAGACCATCATTGTTAACGCCATTTCTTCCCCTTCCCCTTTTTCTCCAAGGGCAGGGGATTGAGGATGGGGGTGGGGCATTGTCTGATGCCAGGAGGCAAAGGGCAAGCATATCCACTGGACTAGCCCACCCTGCCATTCCTTGAGTGGCGCGGGATAGCATTCTGGCTTACTTCAGGCCCAGGCTGCTTAAGTTGCTTATGGCTGTGTTGTTGCAGGAAATAAGGAGTTGGGCTCTGGTTCTCCAAAGTGCTTTCACACAAGCTAAATAATGCACTTTCAATCTGCTTTCAGTGCACTTTGCAACTGGATTTTTCTGTGTGAAATGGCAAGATCCACTTGCAAACGGTTGCTGAAGTGGATTGAAACTCCATTATTTAGCATGTGTGAAAGTGCCTAGCCTCATTCTTCTTGTCCTGTCAGCCACATAGCTAGAAGCTTGTAGCCTCTCTCTCTCTCTCTCTCTCTCTCTCTCTCTCTCTCTCTCTGCAGCTTCCTAAATAAACACTTTGTTGTCTCCAACATAGTCCTTCATGAACAAAAACTCACAACAGCCTTGTGAGGTAGGTTAAGCTGACAGATTAGGGTTGCCATCTCCCTGATGGGGGTGGGTTCCCCCCCAGTTTCAGGGCCCCCAATCTGCCACCGGCCAGCTGGCTGACAGGGGAGCCTCACCCCCAAGACCTCTGCCGCACCTGAAGTGCTGGGGACACTCTAGCATTTGGCTAAAAAACTCTATGGTGACCATAGAGTTTTTGGCTGAATGCTAGAGTGTCCCCTAAATGATGTGCCCGGCGTGATTACATCACTTCCAGGTGATGTCATCGTGGCATGCTCCAAGGGTGTACCAGAGGGCCCCAGGCAGCAGCCAGGAGCCCCCCACCGGCAAACAGTAGGCACCTGGCAACCCTATGACAGAGAATGACCCGAGGTCACATAGTGAGCTTTGATAGCAGAGTGGGGGTTTGACCCCTAGGCTCCTAGACGCAAGTCCAAGTCCAGCACTTTAATCATTACAGGATCTCTGATGAAACTTTCCTCTTTTCCAGGATGGCACAGCTGTCTTTCAGTCCATTCTAAAGTATATTGACACAACATCCTCGGTTAATTTCCTTCCAGGCAACAACACTTCAGCCATATTTATTGGCATACAGGGAAGTGGATTACATAATAAGGAGCAGGCCGATAGTTTTTCAAACATGCTGAATGATATATCGCCAGATTTCACTTGGCTACTAGAGGAGGGATGATTTTTTAAAAATTGAAGCCTTCAGTGCTTGAGAGAGAGATGAAGGAACGGGATGCCTGAGAGAAATAAACAATATTTCTGTATTCCACTGGCTGAGAAGATGATACTTCCTAACCATGGCTGCTTCAGAAACAGAAACGTTTGAGATAAATTAATGTCAGGAAGGTGAACCGCTGCGACCGCCCACTTCATGCCATTTTTAAGCTGTCAAAGACTAATATGCCTGAAGTTAGACAGGTTGGAGGGAATGACAACACAGCATAATGAGAGAGGAAACTTATGTATTCAGGACAAGCTATTGACTGAATCAATAAATTACAGCATTCAAGGATGTCTGTGAGGAGAACTGTGGCTGAAGCACTTCTTCTTAAGAGAGTTCAGTTCCCCGTCTTTTGTCGGAGAGCCTCGTTCCGTTATTTTTACGTAACTCCAGTGCACAATGTTACACGAAGCACGTTAAAGATAGAAAGAAAGCCCACTTAGCCCCTAGTAAGTGTGCTTAGAACTGGAATCTTAAAAACATAACTCCCTTGACCCATGGTCCGTTTAGCTTTTAAATTGTCTTTGTGATAGTGGAATGTGAGTGTGACTTTTTATAATCTTTTATCATCATTTAGGAAAATCAGCAGCACCTTTTAAAGAGGAGTTTGGGGTTTACCGCCCTTTTAGCAAGTAAGGCCACCACCACCACCCCATAGCAGTCCCTGAAGGAAGAAAAGGGACCCAGATATAATCTCTCCAAGCCTTGGGGTGGGAAAGCTGGGAGTGGGGGCATAGCAGTTGTGTGTGACATCAGTGATGTAATTGATGTCACTACATCACTTCCAACAGTGGCATATGCAAATAAGTTATGCCAATGAGTTATGCCAATGAGCTCCTGCACCTCTTTTTCTACAAAATGACCCCTGATCACATCCAATGCTCCCTCTAAGCTGTGGAGTCTTGTGAGCAAAAATTCTACTTTGTGAGCTACTGACATGAACGTTGTGAGTAAGCGATTTGGCTACTGCATGAATTAGTTTGCTCTGGAGCCATCCTTCCTGAGCTAAGACAAAAATGTGTAAGGCGGAGGTTAAAAAACTGTGAGCTAGCTCACACTAACTCAGCTTAGAGGGAACATTGATCACATCCATACAATTTCATCAATCAAAGAAGAAGAAAAAAAATCTATTTTATTTCTAACAGCTGTCATAAATAGACTACAAGTCATGTTACAACTCATGGAGATTTTCCAACTAAAAAGACAGCAAGATTCGACTGAACTGTGAACAAATAGCCCGTTTTAAATTGTTGGTTTTAATTTGTGGGGTTTATGTATTCTGTGCATTTATTGCCCCTGCATTATAAGCCACCTTAAATTAATTAAATAAAGAGATGGCTCAGAGGTCGCACTTTTTTGTGAGGCAATATAACTTTGATCCTGTAAAATCCTCATTATATGAACAAGGATATGAAAAATGACGGAGTATCCATCTTGGCAAGGAAAAAAAATCTTCTGGGGAAAAAAACATTTTTTTTGCTACAGTCCATCCATTCTCTCGTGAAACTGCTGCAATTGCGTCCTTCACACTCCCTTGCGTCAATGAAGTTTGTTCCTCAGACTTTGTGATCAGTTTGCCAGTCACCCATTTTGTATGTTAACAGGCTTGCAATCTGAGCCAGCCCCCCCCCCCATCTAATATAACAGATGGATCCATAACCTCATCAAGCTAATGTACAGTTCCGGAATGTTGAAGTCAAGGAGTTGAAGGCAGTACCGCAAAATGGCTGCCATTGAGTGGGGCAAATGCACAAAATGGGGCCATGGGGTTCTGTAACCAATCACAAAGTCGTGAGGGGTTCTAAGCAAGGCTATTTTTGGGCAGGAACGCACAGGAACGGAGTTCTGGCTGGCTCCCAAGTTGGCCACGCCCAGCAGGAACTCATTAGCATAATAGGCCACCCCCAACAGCAGAAACTCATTACGATTGGATACAATTAGGGGTGTGTTAGATCGCGCTAACAAGGGACTCGTAGAGTGATTCAGCAAGTGATTCAGCTTTATTGGAAGTAACGAACAAGCACTAAACTCAGTAAGAAACCAGAACAGAAAACAGTGGGAGCTTATGCTCCTTTTAAACATAACCGGGCTAATGTAGCCACGCCTATTTACAAATAACAACCAATGAGATTGCTTAGTTAAGGACCAATGAAAGTCTTTCCCTCGCAGGGAAAAGGCACAGTTCTGATTGGTCGCTGTTACGAAGCGACCAATAGGAAGTTCGCTCAGAGGAGCCTGGTCTGGCTCGAAGCTTAACATAGGAGTCCTATGAGGTGATTCATGTAATTGTTTCAATACATTACAATTCCTCCCCCCTAAGTTAAGTCATCATCCATTTGTTTTATTATTTACATACATTCAAGTCACGCTGTTGTACATCAACTGTTCCAAAATACTTTATTACACTCGTAGTCTTTTAGATAAGTTGGCATCTGTCGCGTACGCTGAGACCTGCGAAGCGGTGCAGGCTCTATGGGCACACAAGGTTGTGAGTCACTGTGGGGTTCACTACAGCCTGGTTCAGGCACAAACTCTACTGGGGTTTCAGCCCCGCACACAGGGGTCTGCCCTGACTCGGGGACAGTACCGGGCCCTTCGGTACTCACCGCCTGCTTTGGGGGTCTCCACTCAACATCAGGGAATTCAGCCGTCGGAGAGTCAGCGCTGTCCTTAGCCCAACGTCTCCTTAGCTGATCTATGTGGCGCCGCCATACTCGACCGTCAGCCAACTGTACCACATACATGCGAGTACCCACAGAGTCGGATATTACCCCAGGAAGCCATAAGTGACCATTAGCATAATTCCGTGCAAGAACCTTGTCCCCTTTTTCAAACATTCGTACCTTCGGTTGTGAGTCGGTACGCTCGGAATGATCGTCAGTGAGATCCGGATGCAACCTGTTTAACCGAGTTGTGAGCCCCCGCCCCATTAGCAACTCGGCCGGACTGCGGCCTGTAGTACTGCAGGGGGTGGTGTGCTGCCGCAAAAGAAAGGAGCCCAGCCTCTGGCTCCAGTCACCCTCGTCCATTTTACCCAGGGCCTCTTTGGCCGTTCTGACCATCCGTTCGGCCTGGCCATTAGACGCCGGATGGAAAGGGGCCGAAGTCATTTGGCGGATGCCATTACTCGTGAGGAAGTATCTGAACTCCTCAGAAACAAATTGAGGCCCGTTGTCACTGACGATGACGTCAGGCAACCCGTGTGTGGCAAAAAGGCGGCGAAGCGCATGAATTACGGCTAGTGAAGTGGTCGACTTCATGTGTACAACTTCTAACCATTTAGACATTGCATCTACGACAATCAAGAACATTTGCCCTTGGAGAGGGCCAGCAAAATCTATATGCAACCTGGCCCAGGGTTTCCCAGATGATTCCCAGGCTTGGGGTGTAGCGTGTGGGGGATCAGGTCTAACCTGCTGACACTTGGAGCAGACTCGCACCCACTCCTCGATTTCCTTGTCCAGTCCTGGCCACCAGACATACCCTCTGGCCAATGCTTTGGTGTGCACCATCCCAGGGTGACCCTCGTGCAGGGATTCCAATACTCTCTTCCTGAGCTGGGCAGGGACCACCACCCTATTGCCCCATAGTAGACACCCCTTGGAAATCGAGAGTTCGTTTTGGCGGCTTTTGTAAGGTGCGAATTCAGGCTCAATGCTCCCAACCGGCCACCCCCTCCACACCCAGTTAAGTACTCGGGAGAGAATGCAGTCCTTGGCCGTCAGTGCCGCAATGTCCTTGGACGACACTGGTGCCTGGGGGAGCTCATCCAGAGCCAGGACCTCACACGCAGGGGCAGGGTCGGATCCCACACAGGGCAATGGGCATCGGCTAAGGGCGTCCGCATGTCCGATTGCCTTCCCAGGCCGGTGTTCGAGGTCATAATCGTACGCCTGCAAAAAGAGCGCCCATCTAAGCATACGTGGGGACATTATGTTTGGCAACTGCTTATCGGGCGCAAAAATCCCCAGTAGCGGCTTGTGGTCAGTGACCAGCAAAAATCGTCTGCCAAAAATAAAATCATGGAACTTTTTGACAGCCGCTACCAACGCCAGACCTTCCTTGTCTATCTGGGCATAGTTCCTCTCTGCCGCAGATAAAGACCGAGAATAAAAAGCGATAGGCGCTTCGCTCCCATCAGGCATCAAATGGCTCAAAACTGCGCCTACTCCAAAAGGTGAAGCGTCAGCAGCTAACACCAGGAGCTTCTGATCATCGTAGTGCGTCAGCACGTCATTAGATGTCAACAGCTCCTTAACTCCCACAAAAGCCCGTTCCTCAGCCTGTCCCCATTTCCATTTAGCCTCCTTATGCAAGAGCATGTGCAAAGGGGCAGCCACCGATGCCTTATGCGGTAAAAACGCATGATAAAAATTGAGGAGTCCTAAAAATGCCTGGAGCTCCTTCTTACTCACCGGCCTGGGGGCGTTCCGGATTGCAGCTACCTTGTCGTCCGTGGGGTGCACCCCGTCTGCATCGATCCGGAATCCCAGGAACTCCACACTGTTAACTCCCAGTGTGCACTTAGACCGTTTAACCCTGAGCCCTGCGTCCTGGAAACGCTTTAAGACTTCCTTAACACGGGCTATTAGTTCCTCTTCAGACTTCCCGGCTATTAATACGTCGTCGAAGTAGGGCACCGTGCCTGGTACCCCCCTCAAGAGTTTCTCCATCAAGCCTTGAAAAATTCCGGGCGCCACATTTACCCCGAACTGCAGGCGATTTACCTTAAACGCGCCTCTATGGGTGACAATCGTCTGGGCTTCAGCAGCCTCAGGAGTGACAGGCAACTGTTGGTATGCCTGTGCCAAGTCCAATTTGGCAAAAATTTTCCCTCCCCCCAAGGAAGCCAGAATGTGGCTTATAACCGGGACTGGGTAGGAGTGTTGCTGTAACGCCTTGTTAAGGGTGCATTTGTAATCCGCGCATAAGCGTATGGACCCATCAGGCTTGACAGGCGTTACAATCGGGGTTTCCCACTTACTGTGAGGAACAGGCTCCAAAACTCCCTGTTCCACGAGTTTGTCAATTTCCTTCTCCACCCTAGGCCTGAGGGGAATTGGGACCTTCCGATATTTCAACCTGATTGGCTTTACGGATGGATCAAGTTCGAACGCAACCGGGGGCCCTTTGTACCGCCCCAGACCCTCTGCAAATACATCAGGGAACAGGTCATACATCATATCCCATTTATTCTCAAGCGTTTTGTTAACTCCTGAAATACCAATGCCTAATGGCTCAAACCAATCCAACCCTAGTAAGTTGACCCGGTCTCCCTCGGCAATAAGAAAAGATAGCTTAACACATTTCCCCTTATACTCAACATCCGCAGTGTCCCGTCCGGCCAGGGGAATTCGGTTGCCCTGGAAGTCGGACACTCGGGTCTCCGCAGGCTGGAGCCGCCGTCGGCTTCTGGTTGGGAACAACGCTTGCCAGGATGCTGCAGAGATCACTGTCACCGAAGATCCGGAGTCCACCTCCATGGTGCACGGTCTGCCGTCGAGGAGTGGGGTCACGGTGATCTTGCCCTGGCAACTGGTGCGATTGATGACCGATGCGCTTGATAGGGATGCTGTCACCGAGTAGCTTGCTTCTGGTGCTGATGATTGCTGCTTTCCCCGGGCGTTGGGTGGTGTGGTCTTCTGTGCCGTCCTGCTGTTGGATGTAGGGTCCTTCTGCGCCGACCTGCAGACTCTGGCGAGGTGTCCACGCCGCCCACACGCTCTGCAGTTTACATCTCGAGCCCAACAGGAGTCGCGCTGGTGTTTCCCGCCGCAGCCGGAGCACGGCTTGACGCTGGTAGTCTTCGCTGGGGTCCGCTTGCCTCGGACCGCGTTGACGTCATCGTCCGCTTCTTCGCCCTCGCTGTCTCGCTGAGAGTGGACGCTGGGCTCTGCCATCCTCTGGCGGACCTCCCTTGTGGACTTATCTGCTGCTTCTGCGGCCACGGCCTCGTCGTAGGCCACTGCCCAGGTCAGGGTGGTGCGGGCGAACAGCCTCTGTTGCAGCCTCTCGTCTTTAAGGCCACAGACGAGACGGTCTCTGAGGGCTTCCTCTACGTTGTGGAAGTTACACGGCCGTGCGGCTTTGCGAAGGGCCGCCACGAAATCCGCGATGGTCTCGCCTCCGGCCTGGTTCCGCTTGTAAAATGCGTGCCGGCAAGCAATCTCCGACGGCTGTGGAGAATAGTGAGCCTTAAGCTTCTCAGTGATGTCAGCGTAGGTGACAGTCTTTATATCAGTTGGGGCCACCAACGACCTGGCTATGTCGAAGGTCCCCTTCCCGCAGGAACTCAGGAGGCACGCCCGTTTCTTGGCCTCGTCTGTAATGTCGTGTGTCTCCAGATGGAACTCGAACCTGGATAGGTAGGAGTCCCAGTCTTCTGAGGAAGGTTCGAAGCACTCGAACTTCTGGCTTCCAGCCATCGTGGGAGACTTGGGCACCGGAGCTGGTGGCGCCTCCGCCGGATCGGCTGCTGTGCTCTGCTCGCTTTCTTCCGAGTCCGAAGTGTGGATGTCCGCAGGGCTGCCTACCTGCTCTAACATCCCATCCTCGTCGCCAATTGTTAGATCGCGCTAACAAGGGACTCTTAGAGTGATTCAGCAAGTGATTCAGCTTTATTGGAAGTAACGAACAAGCACTCAACTCAGTAAGAAACCAGAACAGAAAACAGTGGGAGCTTATGCTCCTTTTAAACATAACCGGGCTAATGTAGCCACGCCTATTTACAAATAACAACCAATGAGATTGCTTAGTTAAGGACCAATGAAAGTCTTTCCCTCGCAGGGAAAAGGCACAGTTCTGATTGGTCGCTGTTACGAAGCGACCAATAGGAAGTTCACTCAGAGGAGCCCTGGTCTGGCTCGAAGCTTAACATAGGAGTCCTATGAGGTGATTCATGTAATCGTTTCAATACATTACAGGGTGTGTGGCCTAACATGCAAAAAGCCCTGGGTTTTGACAACAAACAAAGTAAAGAGAATAAGAAGCAAAAGGTGGGTGTGGCTGGATGACCACACTTCTGGTAACATGGGGGTGTGGCCTAATATGCAAATGAGCTGTGCTGTCAGGGTGTGGTCTAATATGCTAATGAGTTCCTGCTGTTGGGTATGGCCTATTATGCTAATGGGTTCCTACTGGGCCTTTTCTACAAAAAAAGCCCTGGTTCTAAGCAAACCATCTTCCTACGATGGAAGCTGCTATTTCTTAATGGAACTCCCTGTAGACACAGAGTTGATGCCTCCTGGGTTCTTCCAAAGTGTATGATGCTCAGGGAGGTGAAGATCAATTCCCCTGGAGAAAATGGCCGCTTTGGACTCTATGGCATTACACCCTGCTAGAGCGGTGGCTCAAGTGGTTAAGACGCTGAACTGCAGGCTGTGGAAGGTCAGTAGTTCAGCGGTTCAAGACCCGAGTGTGCCGCATGACGGAGTGAGCTCCCGTCTCTAGTTCCAGCTCCTGCCCAACCTAGCAGTTCGAAAGCAAGAAATTGCAAGTAGATAAATAGGTACCACTTCGGTGGGAAGGTAACAGCGTTCCATGCACCTTGGTGTTTAGTCAAGCCGGCCACATGACCACGGAAACGTCTTCGGACAGCGCTGGCTCTTCGGCTTTGAAACGGAGATGAGCACCGCAACCCTAGAGTCGGATTCGACTGGCTTTCGAGCAAGGGAACCTTTACCTTTACCTTTAGAGCGGCCAACCTCCAGGTGGTAGCTAGAGATTTCCCACCATTACAACTGATCTCCAGGCAACGGAAATCAGTCCACCTGGAGAAAATGGCCACTTTGGAAGGTAGATTCTATGGCATTGAAGTCCCACCCCTCCCCAAAACCTGCCTGCTCGGGCGCCACCCTCAAAATCTCCAGGTATTTCCCAACTCAGAGCGGGCAATCCTGTACCTTGCTGGCAATCCTATACCTTGCTAAAGCCCTCCTTCCTGAGCTAAGACAAAAATGTGTGAGCTGGAGGCTAAAAGACTGTGCGCTAACTCACACTAACTAAGCTTAAAGGGAACACTGCTCCCAGTGTGTCTGTTGTGAGGAGGGGAAAGGAAAGGAGTTTGTAAGCCACTCTGAGACACCTTTGGGTAGTGATGGGCAGGGTAAAAATCCAATCTCCTCCTCCTCCTCCTCCGCTGCCGCCGGCGGAATCAGCAAGAGTTAAAAATTGGCAAGAGTTTAAAATCTTTTTTTTAAAGTTTTTTAAAAAAGAGTTTTAAAAAGTGCCCTTTGTGGGCTTAGGTTGGTCAGAAATAGACCTGAAGAGAGAACATAAAGATCCTATCCAAATTACCCATCAAAGTCTAAAGGACTGACAAGGATGTAGGCTAAATGGAGCTTCTAATTAGGAAACTGATTTGAAAGAGGCTTCCGGAGGGAATCGCCGCAGCGCTCGTCTTCTTACGGATGTCCTATGGCCAGGTATCCACAGAGGGTTTAAGCTGCATTAGCAGCGGTCGGGGGTGACTCAACGAGCCGGCAGATGTCTCCCATGTTTACGGCTGGAAGGGATCCACTGAAGAACCACCAGATGCCGACAAGGAAGGGGCTTGTTTTATGTGGCTGACGACAGGACCGCTACAAGCCTCGAGAACAGAGAGTCTGCACATCACAAGGCCTGCTGTTGGAAGTGGGCATCAAAAGGAACGCCCCGAACAGAGTGGAACTGAAGGAAGCCTCCCTGGCTTGACGAAAAGCACCCCCGGGCCGGCCCACGTCCTGCACCTGTTGATGTGGTTTCCATTTTTCGTGAGGCCTCCATCTGCCGCCCAACCTTCATCTGCTCTCTTTGCTGCTGCCTTCACTCAGATAGCTTGTCATGCCTGCCCAGCGACCAGACCCCATCGTGGCCTCCAGCAGCTTCAAGGCAAGTGGAAGGAACCCAAGGAGGGGTGTTGAAGCTGGAAGCCTTGGCACATCTGGGACACAGATGGAACTACCGATGCACAACGACGGAAGAAGAGCCTGCTGGGTTAGACTAGCGGTCCACCGTCTAGTCCAGCATCTTGTTCCGCACTGCCGCCACACATCATCCTGTTTCACACAGTGTGGCTGGAGGGGCAAACAAATAGGGCACCGAGGCTGAGGATAGGCTTGCCAAGTCCCCCTGGGGGGGCGGGGAAACACCCGCCCCAGAGGCCCGTTCCCCGCCGCTGGTGGATCGGGCCCCGGGGGGAACTCCACCCCAACATGCACGTCACCCGGAAGTGACGCGGCCACGCCAGGCATGGTGGGGATGGGGCCACGGTCATCCAAGGGAAAACTCTATGGATTTCCCTCGGATGGTCGTGGCCCCGCCCCAGCGTGCCCGGTGTGCCCGCGTCACTTCTGGGTGAAGTGGATGCAGCGCACGCGCGCACTCCAGCTGCCAGCCGGGAGTCCCCCGCTGCGGCTCAATTCACACTTGGCAACCCTAGCCAAGGACCAGGCTCGTAGCTACACTGGGGCATCTTGGGGCTAGGCCCCCCGACTTGCTGGCAAGGCCCCCTGACTTCCCATCTAGCCCAGGGTGTCACAGCCTTCTCCCCCGGATTAATCTGATTAGCCAGTGCCCCATAAGAAATTTAAATGCCCCCTGACTTTAAAAAATCCTGGCGACGTGGACCTCTCCTGCTGCTGCCTCTCAGTCCTGGTATTCAGAGGTTTGCTGCTTCTGTAGACGGAGGTGCCCTTCAGTCACCACGGCCAGTAGCCATCGAGCAACCTCTCCTCCAACTGGATGATTCGAGCAACATTTTGTTTGCCGTCAGGTCACAGGTGACTTGTGGCAACCCCATAGGGTTTTCAATGCAAGGCACGATTCAGAGGTGGCTTGCCACTGCCTGCCTCTGCAGAGCGACCCTGGCATTCCTTGATGGTCTCCCATCCAAATCAGGGCTCTTTTTGTAGAAAAAGCCCAGCAGGAACTCATTAGCATAATAGGCCACAACCAACAGCAGAAACTCATTAGCATATTAGGCCACACCCCTGACAGCACAGCTCATTAGCACATTAGGCCGCACCCCCATGCTACCAAAAGTGTGGTCATCCAGCCACACACACCTTTCGCTTCTTATTCTGTTTACCTTGTTTGTTGTCGAAACCCAGGGCTTTTTTGTAGCAGGAACCCCTTTGCATGTTAGGCCACACATCCCTATTGTAGCCAATCCTAATGAGTTTCTGCTGTTGGGTGTGGCCTATTATGCTAATGAGTTCCTGCTGGGTGTGGCCAACTCAGGAGCCAGCCGGAACTCCGTTCCTGTGCGTTCCTGCCCAAAAATAGCCCTGCAAATACTAATCAGGCCTGAGCTTCCAAGATCTGACAAGACTGGGCTGCCCTGGCCTATCCAGGTTCTTATCTGAAAACCACCTTTCTTCTAAAGATCTAAGGGTCCTTCTCTCACCATTTTACCCACACAACAATCTTGTGAGGCAGGTCAGGCCTGACCCAAGGTCACCCAGTGAACTTCATGGCAGCGTGCTGGATCCGAACGTGGGTCTTTCCAATCCTGGTTCCTGGTGGGGCCCACTGCTGATGATGACCCCCTACCCATGCCCTTCCCCTGCCACCTGTCCCCACGCCTTTCCCCCTCTGCTTGCTTGAAGCGCTCTGCCACCCATACTCCCAGTTCTCCCACGTCATTGGGGAAAGGCATGCGGTGGCCGTGGCAGCTGCACTCCCACCTGCATGCACTGCCCAGTAATAATTAATTAAGTACCGCATGGCCTTGTG